ATCGACACGCTGAGAACTCATGGATTCGATGGGTTGGATCTTGACTGGGAATATCCAGGAACAAGAGGGGGTTCTCCTAAAAGTGATAAAGGAAGGTTTACGCTTCTGTGTGACGAACTGCGAGCAGCCTTCGAAGCTGAAGCCAAGGCCACAGGCAAAGAACGWCTGCTCTTGACTGCCGCTGTTGCTGCTGGACTATGGACTATCAAAGACGCGTACGATATTGAGGGAATTTCCAAGCCTCTTGACTGGATCAACATTATGACATACGATTTGCACGGTACCTGGGAATCAAAAACTGGTCATCAYACAGCAATGGGACCAGAAGGAGACAAGCTTACCTTACCATTTGCCATTTGGTATTGGATGAACAACAGAGACACATGGGAAAAGCCTGGTATTAGAAAAGGAATGCCTGCCAATAAAATCGTTCTTGGACTCGGTACGTACGGACGTGCATTCGGACTCGCCAGTCCCGGTAACAACGGCCTGGATGCWGCTCGAGATTATCAATTTACACCCAAAGGTCAATACACGGGCGCAGAAGGATTCCTTGCCTATTTTGAGATCTGTAAACTTGGGCTGACCGTCGTCCACAAGAACAAAGCCATGGCACCCTATGGCTACAAAGGCAAGACGTGGGTTGGTTTTGATGATCAACAAAGCTTGATCTACAAGATCGACAACGTGGTCAAGAAGAACTCTCTACGGGGTGTTATGTTCTGGGCGATCGACTTGGACGACTTCTCAGGTCAGCACTGTGGTCAAGGAAAGTATCCATTGATAAGTGCAGTCAAGAAATACCTGACATCTGGTGTACAACCTACATTCCCMGCAACACCTCCTCCACCAGCGACAACCCAAGCTCCACCAATTTCCACTCAGTCACCACCAGCACCAGGAACAACTCAAGCTCCCCCTCCAGTCACTACCCAGGGTCCTGCACCTACCACTTCAGGAGGTGGAACCTCCGGTGGATGTAAGGCTGCTGGTTCCTGGACTGGCAATGCTGGGATGGACGCGTGGTGCAAGTCAAATTGTGCCCTAGGAAATTGCCCACCTACCCATTGTGTTTGCAATTGAATTAAAAAGAATTGGCAAACTGCATGTAAAGAAAATTAAAACAATGATAATTAACAATGAAATAGAGTGCTATTTATGTTTTGTATGTGAAATTATCAAATAGACCTAATGAAGTAACACAACTCAAAAACGACTTTTACTCAAGAATCGACTTTTAGAACTGCACGATTTTAAAACGGCTGTCCATCTGTCAGTTGAAAAATTCATGACTGGCTCCACAAGTTTCTATCTATCGTCTCTTAAACAGGGAGCCCGGCTTTGGAATTTGTACATGAATAAATAAATCAATAAAGTGCTTTGGGTTTCCTGTGTCGAGATTTGAAAAAAGACGGTGATACGTTGAATTTCCGGTAATCGTACTACCAGTAACTTAAGATTAGCAGATTAACGTAACGTATAATCCCAATAAGACCCTAGTACCATCACAGGGACTCCGGCTTGGTGATGCTAAATCGGTAAAACGATCACGTTTCATATGTTGATGACATTACATAATAATCGTAACTCAATACACCCATATACAAACGGTCACTACGTAATAGAACACCAGCGTTTGTAACGCGTAACTTAATACCGTAATAAATTCAAATTCAAATACRTAACGGCTATGGGGTAAAATACCAGTCAAAAATACGTGTAGTATACATGTATTATACAAGTATCATACATGTAATGGCGTTTGGAGCGTGTATTGAGTTACGATTATTGTGTAATGTCATCAAAGTATATATATTTAGGCACTGCCTAAAAGCGGAGCTCCCGATACGGAAGTCACAGGGAGAACAATTGAATGAAACTGAAAGGTAAAAATAAGATCGGGGAAAAAAATCATCAATTATTTTTTATTCGAGATGAAGATAATTTCTCCCATAATAAAAACCATGCAGTGAAATCGAATCGAAATGCAGTACATTGTTGTTGTTTTTTTGTTTCTTTTTGTTTTTTTTTGTTTTTTGTTGTTGTTGTTGTGTTTTTTTTTGTTTTTTTTTGCGCGAGTATACTCTCCCACTTAGGAATTTTGTACACAACTCACAACCACCCTCAGGGGCTAGTTTTGTTCTTGGAAGATTTTCTTCGACAAAATTTTCCAAGACCGACACTTTAAGGCTTTAAATCTCTTTTACTTAAAGAAAAACGAAAGATAACTACAGATAATCCAATACAATATCAAGTT